ATATATCTGAGGTAATGCTTACATCCTTGATTAACTCTATCTTTTTTTCTTTCTGAATAGAATCTCCCTTGGAGGCACTGTGAGAACTCATGGAACACAGACCGCTGTTTCTCCAATTATACTCTAGCAAATACCACCAACATGACAAGTGCAGTGCTTGAATTTTGGGAGTACGTTGAGAAGAATCTTTGTTATTTGTGTGCATATGTAAAATTCAACTTTTTATAATAACATACTTCCTCAATACAAGGCAAGGTTTTTTTCCCCCATTTAACATGAGAGGAAGACCCACATCCTGGATTTGAATACAAGCCTGGTTGGATGGCTGGAGTCAGAGCCACACAAACTGCTTGCACCTGCCACCTCCCCCACTACAGCCTCTGCCTAACCTGCCCTCCTCCCCACCACTGCTCTGACTCCAGCCCCACTCTGGCCCAAGGCACAGAGCATGTGGTCACTCCAGCCCTTGCTGGGCCATGGTGCAGTTGTGATGGTGGTAACTTCAGCCCTAACTCCAGCTCTGGGGCTGGAGCAGGACCTGCTGCCACTGCTGGAACACATGGGCTGCAGTGACCATGTGCTCCATGTCCTGGGCCAAACTGGAGCCAGAACCAAAGCTGCAGAGGGTAAATAGCAGTGGAGCAGGGCTGGTGGTGAGGGAATGACAGAGGCAGCAGTGGCATGGCAGCAGGGAGGGATGGGTAGGAGGGGAAGGTGGTGTGGAGACCAAGCATGGAAGACACAAGCACAGGGGGCAGGTGGGAGGGGGAAGTGGTGGGTAGGCAAGAGCCTGGGGACATAGGCAGGAGGAGCGGCAAGTGGTAAGGGGCAGGTGTCACAAGACACAGGGGCCTGCTTGGACAGGCATGGGGGGAAGCAGGTGGAAGTGGCAAGAGGCAGGGGTCAGACCATTTAACTTCCCCACTGCCTGCTGCTGTTTTTCTCACTGCAGTGGTGGAGAGAATGAACTAAGACAACCCTCTAATAGTTAGATTCTATACATAGAAAATGCTAAGACATTTATACATTTTTCTTGTCTAATATATAAGTACTGAGAGGTCATCTTAACTTTAAAACTGTCTTGGATTCAGATAAATATGGTACATCCTTCTTTTGAATACTGAGTTGTAAAATGTGCCGTTCTTTTTGCTCATTTTAGACGTAACATGCACCAAATGACTGATGGTTTGGAAAAACCAGGGCAGATCCGATGGCCATTAGCAATTACACTGGCAATTGCCTGGATTCTGGTGTACTTTTGCATCTGGAAGGGGGTAGGCTGGACAGGAAAGGTAAGACTTAGAAATATTGATCAGATGAGATTCAGTAAGGACAGGTGCTGCAGTTGGGATGGAATAATTGCTTTCACAAATACAGAGTGGGGAATGAGTGGCTAGGCCGCAGTAATGCAGAGAGGAACCTGGGGTTTACAGGAGGCCATAAGATGAATGTGAGTGAACAGTGTATTATGGCAAAACATATCAACAGCTTATTAGGTTGTATTAACAAAAGTATCACTTGCAAAGCAACGGCAGTGATGGGCAAGGGGAACCAAATGATTTACATAATTATTAAGGGCCGGGGAAGCAATATTTATGAGGAAAGGCTAAAAGGATTCAGATTATTTAGTCTGAAGATGAAAAGTCTGAAGAGGAGTTTTGATTAAGAGTCTTAAAATACTTAAAGGGTGTTTACAGAGTGGCTGGGGATGAGCTTTTCTCCATCACTGTAGGGGACAGAATTAAGAGCAAAGGACTAAAGATTCAGCAGGGTAAATTTATTTTAGAAATGAGGAGGAACTTTCTGACTATGAGGGTAGTCAAGCATTGAAACAGACTATCTAGAGAAATTGTGGACTCTCCCACCTTTCAAAGCAGGTTAGGCAGACACTTGGCTGGGATGGTTCAGCTCCATTCAGTGATGCTACCTTATCATACTTGATTGAATTCTTCATGTAGATCTTCATGTGGCTAACAAAAAGCTAAGTATTCACAGGACGATGAAAGAAATGAACCATTTTGTCTGTTAGTTGAACTGAGCCTGTTTGAACAAAATGGTTCCAGTACAGAACTTCAAACCTGGCAATCTCATCTTTCTTTCCTGCTTTCAGAGGAGGCAGCAAGATCATTCTCTGTAGCCTGACTTTACAGTTACCCATCCACAAGACTTTTGGAAATCAAGATCTCAAGAGGCCTGTGGGGCAGTTATCCCCAACAAATGCCATCCTTCCACTCCCCTTTCTACTAGGAAGAGGAGGACTTCTAGGGTCAGAAGACAGAGCTAAAAATGCTGTTCTCCAAGCTTGGCTGTGACTAGGAACACTGATGTTGTGCAGACTAATGCTTGCAGTGCCAAACAATATGAAGAGATATGTGAACTAGAAGTTCAGAAGCAGCCCAGTCCTATTCCTCATTTGTGGTCTTAGGGGCACTCAGAAGAGTAGTGGGGAATGTTAGTTTACCTTGTAGATGTGCTAAGTAGGGAATTCCAGAACTGATGGCTTGCTGTGTGGCACTAAATGTAAAGTGCCATTTCACCCCTACAAAATTTGACATTTTTTGTTGTTGTTGTGACGTAAATAGTTAAAACTGCTGAAATTTTACTGGGAGCCTGGGGTAGATCCAGGGCAGTGTAGTATTACAGTCACACCCCTCTGTCAGCTACATGCCACATGCATAGTGATCTCTCTGAGCTCATTAGCTGGTCTGTGCAGGTAACTCTGGAGCTCAGGGAGTGAATGCCACAACATTTGCCCCCTGCTCTACCCCTTCCTTTCCCCTGCCTCTAAATTTAGCACAGAGAAAGGGATGGGGGGGAGGTAAATGGTGACAGTAGTTGCCCCTGGACTCAAGAGGCATGCAAAAGCAATGCTTGTGACAAGAGCCTGCACTGAACAGCTGGTAATCTCAGAAAGCTCCCTGAATGGAGCTCCAGCAGGACCCTGTGCTGATCAGGTAGGAGCCCAGAGGGCTCAATGCACATGTGTTGCACAGCTGAAGGGGTTATGACTATACCCCCTTCACTTCTTTCCTGTATCCACCATTTTATGTCTAGATTTATAATCCCTTGTTTCTTTCCAATAGGTGGTCTACTTCTCTGCTACTTATCCATATGTCATGCTGCTTATCTTGTTCTTCCGTGGAGTAACACTACCTGGAGCAAGGGAAGGCATTTTGTTCTATATAACTCCTAACTTCAGTAAGCTTTCTGATTCTGAGGTAAACATTTATTCTATGTAAATAAAAGTTCCATACCAATTGTTTACCATTCAAATGATATCTAATCAGCCTCTTGCATGTATGTATAGACATAATAAAAACATAATTGCTTTCTGCAATCAGGTATGGCTGGATGCTGCCACACAGATTTTTTTCTCCTATGGTTTGGGTCTTGGTTCACTGATTGCTCTTGGAAGTTACAACCCTTTCCACAATAATGTTTACAGGTAAAAAGATTATTATATGTATTACAAAAGTTCTTAGATTTCCCAGCTGAGATCAGGTCCCATCCTGTTGAGTAGTGCACAGACAAGGGTGAGAGCCATGCCCTGATACTAGGATCAGAGCCTCTTAATATGGAAGACAAAGAAACCAATAGGGAATTGAAAATTGCATAGAGTAATTAGGCAGTTTACCCACCATGACCCAGAAAGTGTCAAATAACTAGGAACTGAACCCACAATTGAAAAGCGTTTGAATCATGCATCTTACCCGCAAGAATTCCCAACAATAAAAGAAGTATAACAACATTTTCTGTGCTTTACTGCTGCTTCAGATCAGGCTGGTTAAGGCATTCTACAGCAAGCAGCACACAAGGAAGTTATAGGTCAAGTATCACAGCTGACTACTTTTGGCTTCCCACCTCAGACAGCCAATTATCCACTTGTGACTGGGTATCTGGGGGGTGGCATATGACACGTGTCTGAAGGAAGGTTTGAACTTAGGCCTGTGAATTCCATTGCAAGACGCTTGTACTATTCCAGCACTTGCACTATTCCACCTTCACATCCCACCACTCAACAGCACCAGTTAAAAGTATTGACATATTGACATATCTCTCTGAGCTCACATATCTCTAAAAAAAATTTTTTTTATTCACTAGCACTGTACCTTTCTTTCAGGGATTCCATTGTAGTGTGCTGCATAAATTCATGCACAAGTATGTTTGCTGGCTTTGTCATCTTCTCCATTGTTGGGTTCATGGCTAATGTCACCAAGAGGCCTATTGCAGATGTTGCAGCATCAGGTATGTGCATTGTATTTTTCCAGAGTTCAATGGTAGCCATTATTTTGTTTACAGCAATATCTACTTGAGCTACCTATTCATCATTTATATTTCCCCTATTAGTTTCCTTAACTACATGCTAAGTGAGTGCCATCTTACATATTAACAGAGAGAAAGGGAGAATTGTTGCAAGTTTCACAGATTATATGCTACCAAATGAGTTAACACTAAGCTGGATGCCCTCTACTGAATCACCTACTTGCAAACTACATGTGGTCTCAGGGCATTTGCTAAGGGACCCAAAGTAGGCCAAAATAATTAAATAATAATGGGTGCACATTCAGTTACTATAGAGCTTAACAAGATTTTAAATAGTTATGAAAATCTGAGCAATGGCCTTCTATTATAAAAGTTTCCAAATATATATTAAGTGTAGAATAAATATTGATCAAAGCAATGAAAGTCATTTAGTTTACTCTCCTTTTCATGTCACAATTCTTTAATATTAAGCCTTTTCCTGATAGGTCATTTTTTACCCTTTTCCCAATGGGCCTAACCCTGTACAATTTGAGCTGGTCTGGACACTTTGCCAGGAAAATTGCTTAATTAAGACAGTCAGCTGCCTCATTGGGTGTCACACTTGGAAGGAATTCTCTGAATTTTCTTTAGCTGGAAAAGCTATAGTTTAAGCAGAGCTGCTATTTGCTGTGGCCCAGTTGGTATGCCAGGTATCCATCCATCCACTGTAGCCACAAGGAGGAGCATTCAGTTAACTAGGAGAGTTGTATGGTAGCCCCTGATAAATTGACACTATAATAATATATCTTTATGTATTTTAACATATGTATGAAATTTACTTCTGCTTTTCTAATTAATGGGATTTTAATCCCAAGAACATTAGAGCACATTAGTGGTATCCTCCCCTTGTTGTGTCAATGGGGCTTGCATATCCCTATGATCCTGAGAGCTATGCCAGCAGTAAGCATAGCTTCTGAAAGTGTCCCCCAAGCCAGACAAGTTGAAGGTGAGGGATCTGACAGAGAGAGATGCCTTGGCCCTCCAGGTTGGTAGTTGAGGATAGAGCTAACTATTATCCCATAAAAAGTAGCTTGTTATGAAACTTACACTATCACATCAAAGTTGGTTGGAGTCAAATGTAAATAGACCTTGAAAATGGGAAAAAGAGTTACAGATTGGAACCAGAATGTACCGAGACCTTATAGACCAGGAAGGGCTCAATCCCTGGTGGAGGAATTGTGGAAATACAAGATGGACATACAAGTTTTGCAAGAGATACACTTATTACTGTTCCAGGCCATCATAGAGATCAACAAACACCCTTTAATTTTTTGTGTAACAAAGACAGACAGACATGAATACAGCACAGTTTTTGTGCTAAGCTCAAAAGCATAATTTTTCCTTATGTATTTCCAAAGGATCAATGAAAGAATCTCCATCCTCAGAATACAAAGCCAGTGGTTCAGTATCACAGTTCTAAATATAATGCCCCTAGAGAAGAAACAGAAGGTACTGTTTCTTCTCTAAGGGCATATATGCATTCTATGATTTTTTCATGCATCTGTGTGAACACATACCAAAAAATGGTATCATGTTTGTACTAGGAGACAACAATGCAAAAGTAGGTAGAGAACAGATACACAAACTAGGGGCTGTTACAGAAGGCCTGCACAACGTTTCCAGAGGAAATGGGGTAAGATTCATTTGCTTTGCTTCAAGTAAAAATATGATTATTAGGAGAACAATAACTTCCCACAAGAACATTGCAAACAAATGTGGGTGTCTCAAGATCAAAAACAGCAAACCAGATTGGTCATATACTTATACATAAACAATATAGAAAGAGCATAAGAAATGTAAGAAGTTTCAAAAGTGTAAATTTAGACATCTATTTTCTTGTCAGAGGAAGTATAGCAATGCGATTGAAATATGGTATTGTAAAATAGGGAAAATTTGACATTGAATAACTTAAATAGGCAAAGGTTAGTGAACAGCATCAAGCAGAACTTAAAAACAGGTTTCAGGCTCTTGAAGAACTCTCTGAAATGAGGGAAGAAATAAGCTAAAATTACAATGATATTGTAAGTGTCAACGAACAATGGAATAAAGATTAGTAATCAAAGAAAGTACAGAAAAACAGTAAGGATACAAGAGCATATCAGAAGGAATAGGTAGTATGATAATGAATGTAGGCAAGCAACAAATAAAATGAAATCAGCAAGACAAAAACTCCTCCAGTGAAACCAGAACATGGGCACGAGTCTGGAAGAATATAAGGACATCATCCAAGAAACAAAGAAAGTTCTAAGAAACAAAAAGCATGAACACCTAGTGTGTTAACTCCAAAATATCAAGAGATAAGATACATTATGTAAAAGAATTATATGAAGGAGTTGGGAATTACAAACAAGGATATCAAGCACAATGAAGCACCAGGAACTAATGGCATTTCAATTGAAATGATAAAATATGGAGTGGAAGAGCTTTATAAACAAATCCATAAATTAATTCTCCTTATATGAAAATCATCTACCTGATAATTGGAGAGAAGCCCTAATATGTTCCATCTTCAAAAAAAAGGCAGCAAGCTGAAGTGTCAAAATGAGAAGTATTGCCCTATTAATAATGACATATAAAGTATTTTCTAACATCTTGCTACAGCAATTATTACTTAACACAGAAGAAATTCTGGGGGAATACTGGTGTGGACTCTGCAAGAATAGATTGACAACAGGAAAAATCTTCTCACTAAGACAAATAGTTGAGGAAAAATGGGAATCCAATAAAGCATACATATTCTGTTCATAGACTTCCAGAAAAATTATGATAGCATACACATGTCTGTGGGCCATATTAGGAATTCCCAATAAACTAATTGAACCCATTAACATTTGCATGCATGAATCAAGGAACAGAGCTAGCACTTATGGAAGAAAATTGGACCCCTTCCCATTTAAAACTGAACTGAGACAGGGAGATGGTTTGTCTCCAATCCTATTCAATTTGCCAGTGAAAAAGGTAACCAGGGGCATAAATAACATAAGGGGAGGAGTTCAGCTGAATGGAGAGCACGAAGTCTTGGAATATGCTGATGATATAGCGTTCATACATGAAAATACAAATTATATAGAAGTTCTGTATACCTGAATAATAAATGAAGCAAAGAAAATTGGACAAGTGACTTTGATAAAATAGACTATCTGCTGATAAATGAGATAGCAGTAAGTCCAGGACCTCACATAACAATAAACAAACAAACAAACAAAGCAAGTGACACACTTCAGGTATTTAATTTTTGTATCATAGCACAGGATGGTAACATAAAGGAAAAGATTAAAGGAAAAACTACTTTGCATTGCCCAAGCTCCTGTCATCCAATCTCATCCCAAGGAAAACTGTGCTTCAAGTCTATAAAGCCATAATCAGGCCATTATTAAAATTTGGCAGTCAAACCTGGATTGTCTCACAAGCAAGATACTATTCAATTGTTTTGAAAGGAAGTTTTGCAGAAAATCTTTGGTGTATTATGGTGTATTATGATCCCATGATACAAATGGAACATAAGAACCAATAATGAGCCATATCAGTTTTACAAAGCCCGGACCCTGACACAGTTTGTCAGAGCACAATGACTATAATTGCTGGGTCAGGGTAAAAGAATGGAAGCAATCCATATACCAAAGAAAGTGCTCCTTGGAGTACCAGATGGGAGACGGCCTCCTGGAACACCAAACTGAGGATGGCTAGATGATATGGTGTCAGACCCACAGAAATTGAGATGGATGGCTAAAGAACAAAAACTCACAACAGACAAGAATGAATGAAAAGAGTGGAGTCAGCCAAGGGCTTCTAGGGCCTATAGTGCTAAACTACAAGAAGATTTAGGAGTTAAATCTTCTTTTACTGTACATATGTAAATGGCACACCCATAGGCATGGAACTGCATTTTTGTCAGTTATGCAGTTTGCAATTCAGTGATGCCCACACAGGCTTCCTGTGAAATCTTTGGCCAGTGGGTTTCAGACATTTGTACAGGGAGTACGGCAATAGGGTTCCAGGTGCCTTTCAGCTAGGGCAGGTAGTTGAAACTGCATTTCCTACAATCAATCAAACACTGCCAACTAGTAGATATTGGCCTGACTTTGCACATATCCCTTTAAGCTGACCAAATGCACCTTTCATTTTTCATATGGATTGGATAAAATAGTTACAACACTAGAAAAATTCCTGCTCTGTTGGAAGTGTAGGTCCAGGCTAAAATTTAGGGGGCCCTCACTTCCAGGGTAACATTTAGCTTCCTGACCTGCATTCCCTGTGGTTTGTGATCTTCCTCCTGGTCTCACATATCTCTTTCTCTTGACTACCCAGTGGCCTAACTTCAAAAGGTAGACTGGAGAGTTGTTCTTATCTGCTCCAGGCTCAATTTGGAGTTCACTTGAGAACTGACTGAGGCTGCACATGCACATGACATGGTCATCGTTTGTGATTTTAATTAACCAGACATCTCCTGGGAGGAACACTCGACCAAGTTGGATTGGTCATGATCCTTCCTGATACATGTCAAGGAGCTCTTCCTGATTCAGGAGGTGTATGGGCCAACCAGAGGTGATATTTTGCTAGACTTGATCCTGACCAAAGGAGATGATCTTATGACCGGCTTAAATATAAAGGGAAGTTTGGGCAACAGCAACCATGAAATCATCATGTTCACTGTCCAACATAAGGCAGACAAATCGGATAGCAGGATTGAAGTCTTAGACTTCAAAAATGCAAATTTCAAGAAGCTTAGGTCACTAGTAGAGCAAGTGCTGTGGGACCAGGGACCGAAGGTGAAAGATGTGCATGAAGAGTGGTTGTTCCTTAAGGACACAATTCTTGAAGCACAAAGGAAGTCCACTTCCATGTGGAGAAAAGGTAGCAGAAGGGCTAGGAAGCCCTCTTGGCTAAACAGGGAAATCAGGGTCCTTTTAAGAAAGAAGAAAGAGGCTTATAAACAATGGAAG